GAAAATCCGGAGAAATACGGCAATTATATATTTCGGAAGAGTGATCAAAAATCAGTAATATATCACCTAAATCAACCTCTGCATTTATTAAGATGATAAAAATAAAAAAATAAAAATATCTTACAGCAGGAATTAGTAAAAACATACAGAATTAGTTAAAAGTACTATTATCTATGTCCAGAACTACAGATAAAAGATTCCAGGATTACCTTTTTAAAGAATTTTCGAGAAAGCGCAGCACACCGTTAACCAGAAATTCCGGCAGTATCCGCTAGATGGCATACTGACAAATTTTGGCACACTGGCTCACCGCGAGCTGGTATTTGTAATCAAGATAAGATTTAAAATGCAACATTTGTGTTCTTCTTTTGAATAATGCTTTAGTTGAATGTCTGTAGTAAAAGTAATCTTCCCAAAATTTTGATTTCATACGTAAACGATTGTTTTTCGGACAATATACATAATTTCTGAATCTCGAATATTTTTCAGGACATTCAACATTCGAATATATGCTATCCCTTGTTTACGTCATCATAACAGCGTTCATAGATATTCATAGATTCAGATACAAAAGCTCACAGAATTTATGGCCTACAAAACAAAGACAACATCTTAGTACTTGATTACTTCCCAGACAAAGTACTGGCGAAATTTTACATAAGGCAATTAAAATATCGCATTTTTAATGCTTTAAGTATAACAAACCTTAAACTTGTACAAGTCTTTATAGCGCACAATTCCTGACTTACCAAAATGCAATACTGCAGATGACATCGACATTAATTTAAAATAATGGTACAAAAATACAAGGGCAGTTAAAAAAATATAAACAAAATTTAACCTACATTATAATAATAAATACTACACACAATTTATTTATATTTCATTGCGGTTTAATCCAGGTGATAAATTCATTTGGTTATGCAAATTAAAACCCGTCTCAAAACAGAGAAGCTTCATTAGGGATTAAGAGGTAAGTGAGAACAATATTTACAAAACATCTTGAAGAATGCGGCTGAGTTCCTACTAGCGTAAAAAAATTCTCACTTACAAAGTTTTACCGTACAATGATACAAGCTTAAATACAAGTAAATTACGGCTTACACAGAAGTAAATTACGTACTGTTCTAGATAAAAGCAATACAAATACTATGACATCATCTGTTATCACTAGCGTTTTCAGTTAACTCAGAGTTAATTATATACTAATATAAAATGTTTTTAATTCTTAGTTACTATTTGGGGGGGGGATTACTTCGGGAACAAGACGGTATTCTAACATGGTAAGAAGATGGTTATGGGAGGGGTTGAGTTCAGAACCGCTGGTTTAATGAAATGCTTGAATTTCCCACTTAATGCTAAATTTTTGTAATTACTGGTTTCAAGAAAAATTCAAATTTTTGTGGAATGTAAGAAAATATCGACAGATTGAAAATATCGCAAACTGGATACACTGATTACTTTTATAAACTCAACAATGGCGAAGACTATGAAAGTAACATTAACCTCTTTTGGTCTTCCCCATTTTATTTCCGTTTTTTAAAATGAAACCCCTTTTCCGAGGAGGGAAAAAAGTGCTCATACTTTTAAAAATAACTCATTCGGCAGGAGTTTAGCGAATGAATTATGGATAAGGCGTGGAGGAATCGAAATTATTCATAAAGCACGCATAAGAAGAGGAAATAGGCAAAGAAAATGCTCTCTAACTACCGATGGAAGTGGTAATCGATTCAGTAGCAAGCAAGCAGTAATCGATATTGTCTTTGAAAAAGAGCACTACTTAACGCATTACGAAATTACACAGAGTTTTATAACTTTCTCAAAAACTGGATGGAAAAGGTAAAAATTTAATAATAGCGAGAAATATTTAAATAATGTGTAAAAAAATCTGAAAGGGTTCAGATTTTAAAGATGGCCGAAAGAACTCTTTTAAAGTTTAATAAAATTTATCAGTACAGAAAAAAAATGGCTATGGCCCAAATGGAATAGGCTATTAGATGACAATGCATTTAGACTACATTGGGACATTACACTTCTTCTGTATACTTGAAATGTGAAAAGTATGTAATGCAATTCTATAAAAATATTTCATTTTTTAATTAGATATGTCATGAACTAAGTGCATTTTTATTTAAATTAATCGATTAAAAAGTTAAAAAAATATTTTTAAGAACGACACCTATTGTTTTTAAACAGTTTACTTTATTCATTAATAACAGACAGATTAAATATGAAGGAATAATGTCTTACGTTTTTCCGAACGGCAACAGACTTGTAATGAAAAGAGAAATAACACATTCAACCGGAAACAAATCGCTTAGTTATTTAACCACATAATTTTAGTACTTTAATATTACTATGCATATGGCAATTACATATTATATAGGGGCAGGTATGATTTCAAAATATCTGCATTAAAAATATTTCTCCATTGATATCAAAATATTATTTCCACTTAGAAAAGATTTGCTTTCTTAAACAAATCAAGAAAGTAAACAATACAGATGTTTATTGAGCATCTGCCTTTAGTCCTAAGCACAAGCGGGGGTGTTCCCCCCGAAAAAGGCCGTAACATTTAATTCGGTTCCAACTTCCTGGCAGTGCTGTGCTTAAAATGGAAAAGATAAACACGGTGAAACATTTACTATTCTTAAACGGCCCATTTTTTCCTCCCCCCTCCAGTTTTAAAACCATACATCAAATGTCACAGAAAGATTTTCGAGAAAGTTTCAATAATGCACGAGTTAGATTTCTTTTTAGAAAGTCAAAATAAATTACACAGCAAGAAAAGAAAACATATTTCGGAAGGAAGGCACAAAGAAAAAAAAAAGAATATATATATATACACAGGCTAGTTACGTTGGAGAAAAAAATGTTTGACGTCTGACCTGCGAGAAAACGGCACGAATTAATGGCTTTCCGAAAACGATTCCCCTCCCCTTTTCTAAACCCTCCCACCACAAAAAAAAAAAAAAAAAAAAAAAAAAAAAAAGTTTCATATAAGAAAAATAGACTCGTTATGGATAGCTCTAGCTTCAAAGGTGAAACTTTTAAATTATTTCACATTTTTAAATTCGTGGGAACTCTTTCAAAGCTAACCTTTCCAACGCGGTGGAGAATGTTTCTCGTTTTACCGCTGGATTAATGTACTTCGCTGGGCTCACATTAAAAAAAAAACAAGAGGTTCGAGTCGGCTACATTTTCTCACGCAAATTTGCTAAAATGTGAGGGAAAATACACGACATGAACATTACTCAAGGCATCGGGAAAATGAAGATAAGTTATGATGTTAGTTTATGAGATACATAAAATACCTTGAATTATTTGGGAATTCGGCAAAGTATCAACACGAAGCTGAAAAATCGGTTTCGATTTCATGATGGGGTCGATCCTATAAGCTTACCTGGAAAAGAATAACTTAATCGAATTCTTATTTTCTCGGGCGTGCGTTATTACAAATTATAAGCCTTACCTACGCTACTGCAATGTCGATTACACCGCTGCTATCGATCCAATGCCGTTGTCCATAGTGTGCAATAATGCTAGGCCAGTGTCAACTCTGTCATGCCTGTAACGACTCTGTGCAGGGAACAAATGTGCATTTAATCCTCTAACTCATTTTTACATCAGGATTTTTTTTTTTCAGGGGGGGGAGATCATACTGATCGTATGGCGGTTGGAGTCTACATCATGTCCACGCTCTTCAGTGTCGATCTGGTGAACGTAAAGCAACTATTTTTCTAAGGATGGATCATTAGAATCCTTATTAATAGTGTAACTGATCAATAAATCCAGGACTGAATTACAGCACTAATAAAATCATGCCATATGCAAATATCCGCTTTTTATTCATTACTCTCTTTGCTAAATAACATTAGCTACAAGAACGCCTTTCATCAGTCAGAGTTTTAGTATGACTTACGACAAATGACGGCCCCGCTGCATCACACATTCTTTTCAGTTATACATAAATCCTTGCAATATAACTGGCAATGGTAATTTACGCAGTTGCGTTCAGTTCTAACACCCCATGGTTGGAAAACTTGCTTCCTTACGATACCTACACAAGAAATTATTGAGCTGTTATTCTTGTTAGAGAAAGAAGTATTAACATCGAACTACACACAGTAAGTTGCAAGTTTCAACACCAGGAACCTCTGGTGGACACTAACGCATGACGTCCAACATGCTAAGGGTATCAAAACATGGCGCATTCCATTAAATACTTCATAGGATAGCTAATGCTAAATGCAGCTGCTAAATGCTAAGTTTGACTCGGGTTTAGGCAGCTTAGAAAAGCTGCCCCCCTAAGATAAAAACGTATCTTCATGAAGGTTTCACCATTTTCACTGAGGTTTCTGCCTTGAAGAACACTAGCTCATCCGTATAATGTAGCCAGCATTTTTACATAGCAGCTCCTGATCGATATAGTGGTTTGCTGTATCACTGGACACGCACTGGAATCACGGAGAAGGCAATGGGTGCGTGAAAATAAGTGTTTTTGGCGCCATAGGTGCACTTAAAATACTGTCGAGATTGAAATCTCCAGTATTTGGTGGCGAAAAGAGCAGAGGGCATAGGATAATCTTAGATTCCGCCCCTCCTGGAGTGTTCATAATCAAATTTAGGATGGGAATGAGCAGAGTTGGACTGTCATGTATGAGGTGCAGAAAGTCTTGACCAACGACAGATATTCGTTTTCTCTTGGCCACGATGAATTCATGAACATAAAAGACATCGTCTTGGATCAAGAGGAAACATAATATAATATCTTCCAATGAGATCACTGCAATCTAAGCTAAACAGGGACTTGTTTGAAGAAAAGGCGCATTGTCTACAACAAAATAAACGTAGCCTGAGCGGTGCTGATCCAAGTCATCGTTGCACATTCATTTATTTTTGGCTTTAAAGAGTATCTAATTCCCATATTTCATCTCCCTGAACGGAGTCAGTAAATCGAAGCTGTCATTAATAGTTGTAAAATAGAAATTGGAACTTACGGATTTTCTGGTTTCGTAATCCAATGGACTGGCGACGTAGATGGCGCCAGTTTCGTTCTTCACAGCAAAGGCTCCTCCTGTATTACCAGCTGTGATTTCATACCGAATGCGAGAGGCTGAAAATAAGAAAAACATCATTAGTTAGATGACATAAATCTTAAAAACGACAACATTTTAAGAAATATTTTAACAACCAAAATTTAAAGCAATTAATTTGAGATGTTCAATTTTAGAGGGGAATATTGTTTCCATTCGACATGTCTTATTCCGGCTGCCGTTCGAAAAATTTTCTCTAGTTACAAAATCTCGTAATATTTTTGCCTCAGATTCAGCACCCATTACAAACAAAAAATGAATTTCCCTCAAAAATACCATCCAGATTTAATGTGAAATTCCTGAATAGAATTATATATATATTTTAAAGTATATCAAATTACGTTATACCAGATATATAATGTAGGACATTAGAAAGATTTTTTATTAGTCGCAATAAAGCTACGTGTACGCCTAAAAATAATTAATATATTTTTCTTCATATCTGTTAGATTATATTATTAAAAAAACAAAGCAATGTGTTAAATTATTTTAAAATTACTGTCAACTGTTTACTGCTTTTAAATCTCTCCGTTTACTACCCAGTTACAGAAGTACAGTTATAGTCTAAAGCTAAATTAAAGATGTTATAATTTTTTGAAAGACAAAGCTCTGAAACTAATTACGCATGAGACCACAAGCATGATAGAATCTCAGATTTCATGGCATGGTTATATTTGTTAGGAATGCGCAATAATTGTCATCGGTGTCATTAAGCGGTCAAAAATTTTAATTACTTTGTTAAAGACGTTTCTTCTGGGATCTCTTTCGGAAGCCTTAATTCAATAAATAAAATAAAATTATCTCGCATAAGATCGTTAATTTAAAACAGTTTTCGTAAAAACTACGAAAAATTCATAAAATTGGCGGATACAACACATGTTAGCAACGGACCAAAAAAAAAAACTCACGATCAAGCACATACGCGTTTTCCCGGGCAAGACTGACTTTCAATTAAGACACCTGAGAATTTGGTCAGCTGGCGATATTCGAAGGAAGATCAACTATTACTAACACACAAGCATTCGTATCTACTTTTCAATTCAATATTTGTGTTGTGAATGCAAATAAATGCCGCAAAAGTATAAAATGGAATGTATATGTATAAATTCTTCAAAGCAATATAAAAAAATTTATTTATATTGCTTTGAAGAATTGCAAAAAAAATCTTGCTTTTTACAGAAGTTAGGGATCAAAGAACTAAGGAAAACGCAAATTATCGAGATCTTTTTTTCCCTCCCCAAATGCAGAGAATATCAAAATCATTGACGTTGCCAAATTTTTCTGAGGATATCGCATAAAAATAGAAATAAAGAAACTGCAATATAGAAGCTTTAGATTACAGTCAGATACTTCAAAAATGAGTTTACTATTTAAAATTTCATACTTGCAGACTCCCGATAAATCGAAGTAATGATGGGAACAACGCTGAGGGTTAACCCAGAATCACACTTAATTCGATAGCAGAAAAACAGGGATAATCCATATGATAATGAAGAGAAAAATACTATTAACAACTACACATTTAAAGCAGTTTGATGTGGAGAATACGTTCATTTCGTTATGCATATTATATCAACATTCAAAATAGAACGTATTTAAAACACAAAGTATCTGATTACATTATTCTCATATTTCGATAGCAGTAAATAGGAAACAGAATATTAATGGGTGTACAACATAACTGATTTTCATGATTTAGTTATAAATTCCAGATTAAGTACAATTAAATTATTTATTGTTAAGGATAAAAATAAGTCCTTAACATTGTGATATCATCCGCTTTCACCACTTGACTGTTATTACAAAATTTTTTTACTCTTTTCTACACTTCCTGCAGAAATTTTCCTTTATTCCGATGGTTTACGATAGCAATTTTTCCATAATTCTGCACTAAAAGATTTTTTTTTAAACACCCGATTAATCGAGAGTTGACAGTATCTATAACATAGAAACATGAATATATATATATAAACCCTTAAAGGTTTCAGATTTTAAATCACGTCCAAAGGAGCTTTTTTTTTAACGTTTTGTATGTTACCTTCATTTACTAAATAACATGTTCTTTGCACTTAAACCATAAAATTCAGTTCAATAGCAATTCGCAAAATATTTTAAAATAAGCCTCTTTTAGAATTCCGGCTACACGTCGCCCGCCGTGCCACATAAACAGGTTCCCCCCCCTCCAGTTTAGAGTGTTGCCATTGCTCGCTTTGAAATCTGAGTTTGTTACTCAAAAATCCTTAAACAAAGTTTACATAATATGTAATCGATAATAAAAACAAATTCCAATTGGCTTCCCATGCCATATTCGTGAGGATTACGTCATTCAAATCGAGGCTCTATGTACGTTGTTTTATCCAATGCGAGAATAGACACAATTTATGCAGATTTTTCATTATTTAATTTCTTCAATATAATGCAGGACTCTAACAAAGTGAAACGGGACATTTATAGTGATTCAACGCAAAATCGCAAAACGAAAACAATAGTTCTTCGGGGACAAAGCCTCTTTGGACTAATAACATCTATTACATAAGTGCTAAGTGCAGCTTCTCCCCGCCAAAAAAATAACGAATACAGAAAGTAAATATACCAAAATTGTAATCTGTATATCACCATAAAAATTTCAGTATTTATCGTCGACTGGCGACAACATGTTTTTATGTTACGGAATTTTGTAAGAATTGAAAACAAGAAGACCTCTTCCAGATGTTAAAAAAGCTTTTAATATGGACTTGATATTTCATTCATTTTATAAAATTATTCGAATTCACTGGCAATTTGTTAGCATTTTTTTTTCCATGTAAATAATTTTAGTAACGTTATACGTAAATTGTAGCATGGCTTGTATAATGTAACATGAAAGACAACATGATGCTAAGCATCGCCGGAAAAATAAAGTTACAGAAAAGTCCATTAAACATTCAGGGGAAATGGTTATCTAGCCAAATTGGGAAAGAAATAGCCCCAAATCGCGATTTTGATCCGATTCCTGTGTAACTGCAATTGATCGAATCCCCATGTAGCTGTAACTTTGTATGCCTTTCAGCAATTTCGAGAAATTGCAGGTGCTGAAAATTTCTCGGTGGACAGGGGAAAACAAGATATTCATAACTATATTCAGTTTAGTTCATAAGTTAAGTTCAGAATTTACCTCAGAGTCTTGAGAGTACACTGTGCGAGTTTATGCATTTGAAGTGCTTTGTGTGGATCGTTGTTAGCAGTATGAAGTGGTAACTACTGATTGCGCTCTGTCATACTGACAATAGCTGTATGAACATTTTCGAGCGAAAAGTTTTAGAACTGCAATATATTTCGAGAAAAATTAATTTCATTAACTTATCATCAGTTCTGTATGCATTCAATCCATTACGAACCCGTACGCACCTAACAATATTTTTAGAATGGTCTTCAGATTTTGAGCACATGACATATATAAAACACAATAAACTGAACGAAAGTTTATCTTTTCATGTACGAAGCAAAATGAAATAAATTTAAACAGACGAGGACGTGTCCAACGGCCTCCTTAAAATACTTCAAAATTTGGCAGCAGTAAACCCAAAAGCAGAAATACACGGATTAAGAATTAATGTTTATATAACAATGTTTTTGTATATAATCATTATTAAAGATGACATGTTCAAAACAGAGCTGATTAGAAAGCAGCTGAATCCGATTCCTTGAGCGAGTGGTAGGGTACGAACTGCGCCAAATTTGATCGAAAATCCCCGTCCCCCTCTTTTTAATCCACGAACTGCGCGACGTTTCCTGTCCCCCACTTCTTCCAAGAAGATTGGGGCCCCTACAAGAAGTCGGTATCGACATTAATGAGACATCTATTGAGACTGAAGGGCCTTTATTTTCGTTATCAATATTGTAAACTGGCATATAAAACAAATAATTAATTAAAGTCTGAAGGGTGCTAAAAAATAAAATTTCTTTTCGCTCTTTAAAATTTTATTGGCTAAAGAATGATGAGCCAGATCTTTTTTTTCTCTGTAAGAATAAAAAACTTTCCAAATTTAGATTTTAGTCGCTGATATATATAAGAATCAGTTTTGACTAGTAAAATTGATAGATAATGACATACACAAAAACTGATACATAATCAAAGATCAAAATCGGTTTGTAGCTCACCTAAATAAGGGGTTTCTTGTCTAGATAAAGATTAACAAAATCTTTCTAGATAGCAGAATGGTTTTAAACTTTCAAATTTACCATTAGGTAAAACCAGTTCTATTTAATTATAAAAAAATATCTATTAAATCAAAAATTGGACTTAAGTTTTCTAATTCACACTAATATTATGACATATATTCCCGTTATAAGCTTTCCATTTTTAAATCATTGAAGTATTTTTTTAGGTTATTTAACTTTGTTACAAAATTCCATATTTTAATAACTGAGAGGAAAACTGAAAACTTTATATATTAATACTAGAAACGAACAAAATTCCATATTCTAATACTAGAAAATATTATTCTGTTTTCACCTGATGTACTTTGGCATACATTTAATTTCTAATACACATTTATTAATAAATTAATAATTATGAGCGTCAGCGAATTTTCATAATTAACAATAAAAAAAAATAAAAAACTCCCTTATATTGATCCTGGGATTTTCAGTTCCTTTTAATCCATCCTTTTCAATATTGTTGCATTGTATTCAAGTTTTCATGTATGTGGAATTTATATATTTTGTATTGTATTTATGTCAATTTATATTTAAATAATAATTTTTACAAATTCTTGCATCATAACTCCAGTTAACAGAAGATGTTTCTAACACGTTGGTAAAGCTTAATCTTCAACATGCAGCTTATTTTCCAATCTAGTTTCAGGCTGAATTATTTGAAATTATTTGATGACAAAGGTGGCTAAATCACGGTAATGATATTTCTAACTGTTGCAATTTATAATGCAATGAGTTCATGTGATTTATAATATTTTCAGCAGTATTGAAATTAATAGCAGATACTGATACGATTACATTTAGATTAAATGATTTAGTGCCT